ATAAAAGGTTTTCAGCCCTTTAACTCAAAAATTGATTATAACTGTTTTTCTGAATTTTTCTTTTATATATTTGTTAATATTTCTGCATTACCATTTACTTTTAGCATTGAGAGTAGGGGAAAGCTTGATGAAGAGTTGAAGCGGGCTGATGCAGTGGTATTAACGTATGCATGTGATGACCCATTGACACTTACTCGTCTGAATACCTTTTGGCTTCCTGAGCTTCGTCGCCTAGAGGTTTGCAGTTGGGAATTGGGATGCTCTATTGACATAAAATATGATTTTTATGTCTTCTCCTACATGACTTTTTTTTTTTTTTTTATTCATCTGATAATTATCTCTGGTAGATCAAGTCTCCAATAGTTGTGGTTGGATGCAAGCTAGATTTGCGAGATGAGTGTCAGCCAATGAGCTTGGAGAATGTCATGGGGCCTATCATGCAACAGTACAGGGAGATTGAGACTTGCATAGAATGTTCATCTGCCACACTAATTCAGGTCAAGTGTTATTTTCAAATTTTAGGTTGAAATTCAAGTTTCAGTTTTTTCACTGTGTTTCCCCTGTCCTGGAGTTTTTACCTTGGCAATTCACTAAGGATATAACAGTGCAAAAGGTATCTGGAGAGAAGCTCCAAAGTCTTCTTGTGATGGAGACTATATTTTGTTTATATTTCCATTTGACAAATGGCTTACTAAACTAGGGTTGTTCTTGCCTTTATTAATTAAGATTTGATTGTGGTGTCTGTGCCTAATTGGATATGCAATTCTGGGATCTGAAGTTTGGGTATTTCTTGTTTGTAGGTCCCTGATGTTTTCTATTATGCTCAGAAGGCTGTTCTTCACCCAACAGCTCCATTATTTGATCAAGAAAGACAATGTTTGAAACCACGCTGTATCAGGGCACTGAAACGGATATTTTTTCTTTGTGATAATGACATGGATGGTGCTCTTAGTGATTCAGAGTTGAATGAATTTCAGGTTACAGCCTTTGTTTAGCATTGTTGGTTTTTCATTTTTTTTTTCCTTGGATTTTTGACATATGGCATGATGTTCGATAGGTCAAATGTTTTAATGCTCCATTACAAGCTGCTGAAATAGTGGGTGTTAAAAGGGTGGTTCAAGAGAGGATACCAGGAGGAGTCAATGATCTTGGTCTAACTCTTGAAGGCTTCCTATTTCTTCATGCTCTTTTTATAGAAAAAGGGCGTCTTGAGACAACTTGGGCTGTACTGAGAAAATTTGGATATGATGATAACTTAAAGCTCAGGGATGATATTCTTCCAGCTCCTAGTAAGCATGCTCCTGATCAGGTATCTATTGTTATATGAAATTAAAACCTTTTGTTATGAAGTTTATTGTATTTACTGTGTTTTTCTTCTGCTGAAGCGAATCAAGAAATTGAAGATTGTTTCATATGATTTTCTAATACTTCTTCAAATATTCAAAAGGTTTTTCTAGTACTGGACAAACCAAAACTATTTCTAAATGCAGGTTACCTGTCATTAACCCTTCTCACCCAACCCATTTTATGTTTGTATGAGTGTATTTGTAATGCATAATCTGCTATACATACGGGTGGTATGAACTGACCTTCAATTTTATATTTTTATTGTCTTACTCCCCCATGTTTTCTGCTGGTCAAGTTCCCAACCACTTAATTATCATGGGACAAAGAAAATTTCGGGAACAAAGACATTTTCCTAGCCACTTAATTCAGTAAGATATTTGTTCTTGGGTTTCTTTGTAATCATAATGTAGAGGATTCTTTATGTAATTTCTGAATGCCTGTGCTGAGCAAGATTTGTCTGTCTTTTACCATAATAGAAATGCATGTGTGAGGCATATTACTTGGATTTCATATGTAAGTTGTACCACATGGAGTGTTATGCTTTACAAATCTTCAAAGCATATCTTCATACTTCAGTTTTATTGGTTTGCAACATTATGCTATTGGTGATTTCATGTATTCCTTCTTTTTCCCCCCAGTAATAATTCATTCCTTGCATTTTTATGGCTATTAAATTTTTATACTCCCTACAATGTTAAATTATATGAAATCTTCTTTTTCTGGGGATAATAATATACTTACTTCTAGATACCTTGTAGAGTGTAGAGCTGACAAGTGAAGCTGTGGAATTTCTGCGTGGAATCTTCCGCCTATATGACCTTGATAATGTAAGTAGCAATCTCCCAAAATTTTGTCTCTTGCCCAAGTTGGGAAAAACACCTAACCCAAGCTTTTATATCAAATCTAACACTATTTTGATGGTAACAATAGACACTGACTAAGTTCCTACCTTGATTTTGAGCTTATCAGGATGGATCCTTGCAACCAGCTGAGCTTGATGCTGTATTTGTAACTGCTCCAGAAAGGTAATCTAGTTACTTAAATATCCTTCATTTTTTGAATTACATAGTTTACAATGTTTATGACTTTATGTCTGTAACTTGTGGTTGTATAATTCAGTAGATTCAGCACTTTGACACTAGGTTTCAATTGATGGTGATCCATGGTCCTATATTTTATTTGATTAGCCTTTTGCAAATGGTGTTGCTCATTCAATCATGCTTGCCAAGGAATCCATTGATTCTTTTGGTTCCATTGTTATTTATTTATTTCATAAATAGTTCTATTGTAATTCTATCTCTGCCATAAATAGTTGTCAGATATAGTATTTGTTATCCTTATTTAGCAGACTGTCAACCCCGGGTTTCAGGGAATGGGTGGAGATAACAGCTTCATTCTATCACTCTCATATTATGTGCCAGATTTTTTAACCATCAAACCATCTATAGTTTTTTCCCCATCCTTTTGATGCTGGATCTCAAGTTCATTTTCTCTCTATGTATTTTCTGTGATTCAGTCCATGGGGTGAGGCTCCTTATGCAGATGCTGCAGAGAAGACAGCACTAGGGAGTATAACTCTTAAAGGGTTTCTATCTGAGGTTTATATGCTTACTTTTCTTTCCCTGATTTTTTTACAAGTTTTGTAATACATGCAGACATGTTTATAAGCTTATATTTCTTGCATTCTCCTGTGTTATAAATTCTATTTTTTGTATCAAAAACTTGCTTCATGGGGGAGCCAGAGCCCTCTGCTGTGCAAAGTGACAAGATGAGGTGTAAGGTCACACAGCAAGAGCATCCTTAAATGTCTGGTTAAATGCCAATTTTAGCCCCTGAACTTGCAATTTTGAACTTTTTTTGTTCCTGAACTATTTTTTGCTCTTTTTTGGTCCCCAAACTATGATAAATGCACTTTTTTAGTCCTTTTGTTAGTTAAAATGTTAAATCTATTCATATATGTACATTTTTAGTCCTTGAACTTATAAGTTTAAGGACTAAAAATGTGCATATATTATAAGTTTAGGGATAAAAATGTATATATTTGGATAAACTTAATGCTTAATGGACTAACTGACCAAATGATTAGAAAAGTGGATTTTTCATAGTTCAGGGACCAAAAAACTGCATAAAATAGCTTAGGGATGAAAAATGTTCAATGTTGAAAGTTCAGGGACTAAAATTGGCATTTAACCTAAATGTTTTATACAAAGCTTTTGTTACTGTTGCCTCATTTTAATATGCAGTGTGTTTTGAATGCTCATAATTTGTATGCTGGTTTTTCAGGTCAAACAATTTTTGTAGAATTAAGCAGAAAGGGTACTATTTAACATATATCTTATTTACATCACATGACCTGATCAAAACTGATTTAAATTCACTTTCACGTTAGTGCTTGAATAAAATATGGAGTGCTTGAATAAAATATGGTGTGCAAGTTGCTGTTTTGAACTTCATTCAGGTATTTTTTTGTTGTATGATTGTCTCTTCTGCGATCTACTTTTTATTGGGTTTTCTCTTAGTGGCCTTTTTCCCCTCCCCTAGAATCTTTGTTACGTGTAATTTTATTGCTTTCACCATTTGTTTCTTGTTTCTTCTATATCAGTCAGACTTGTCAATTCCATTTTTCTTTACTTTATGAGCTACTTGTAAACGATGATTCTGTTATACATGTGGTTGCAGTGGGCCTTGATGACAGCTTTGGATCCAACTTCTAGTTTGGCTAATTTGATATACATTGGATATGGTGGGGATCCTGCTTCAGCACTTCGTCTTACTAGGAGAAGATCTGTAGATCGCAAGAAGCAACGAACAGAAAGAAATGTTTTCTGCTGCTGTGTTTTTGGTCCCAAAAAAGCTGGAAAGTCTGCTTTGTTGAATTCATTTTTAGGAAGGTGTTAACTCTAAACCAATGTGTTCAGTTGATGAATCTTGCTAGTGCCATCTACAATTTTTCTGACCTGTCCTTTATGTATCTATTTATTTTTTCTCAATTTAGCCATTATTATCTATAGTCTATTGTCTAAGCAAGTCTTGACCTTGTGAATTCCAGGCCTTTCTCCAATAACTATTCTCCAACAACTGGTGAATGTTACGCTGCGAATGTTGTTGACCAACTTGGGGTGAGTAAAATAACAGCACATACATTGTGTTCTCTATCAGTTGTAGGATTTATTTTGTATTCTCCTCTTCTGCCACTCCATTTGTTCTCTTTTGTGCACATATTCTATTACTTAATGGATTGTCCTCTTTTCTTTTATTTTCTTGAATTCTTCATTCCAATGCTCAAATTTAAGTATGCGCTCCTCTTCAATTTGTGGTTGCTGGCCTGATGTGACCTCATTTGTGATACAACCTTTGCAGGGTACTGAAAAGACACTTATTTTGCAAGAGATCCCAGAAGATGGAGTGAAGAAATTCCTTTCCAATAAGGAATCTTTAGCAGCCTATGATGTAGCCCTATTTGTCTATGACAGGTAAGATTAACACCATCTGATTTATAAGGAGTGGCAACTTCAATAAAATATTTTATTATAGTTTGGTTTGTGTGCGATTGCTGCCTGTAGTTTTTGTGTTTTTGAATGGTCATTATCATGACATTAGGTTTCAATGTTTTTCTTTCTCATCCTATTTTCCCTGTCTGTATACACTTTTGCATTATGCTTTACCTCCAGATCTTGGATATGTGGAAATTGAACTATGGTGGTGGCTAGAAAGGCTATTGAAATCTGTTGTTTCTTTTAGTAATTCTTGTCATGCCATTCTCATTAAAAATGACTCATATCAAACTGCTATTGTTAGTTCGGATGAATATTCATGGAAAAGAGCTAGGGAACTGCTTCTGGATGTTGCCAGGTGCGGAGAGGAAAGTGGCTATGGAGTGCCTTGCCTCCTCATTGCAGCCAAGGATGATCTGGATCCATTTCCAATGGCACTACAAAATGCAGCAAGAGTATCTCTTTTTACTGTCATCATTATTTTCCCCCACTGACATGCACACATGCAAAATCATCCACATGAGTTTAGATGATATTAACTTGTAGTTTTGAGGACTGCTACGTGCAGTCACCTTTCTCTTGCACTCTCCACAACTCTCTCATATAAAATGGTCACGTAGTAATCTTTGGCTCGCAATTCAAAGTTTTCAGCGAAAAAATTCACATGGCTATTTTACATGAGAGAGTGTTAAGAGAGTGCAGAGAAAAGTGACTGCATTTAGCATTCCTCTATAGTTTTTGTAGTTTCAAATTCTAGGGAGCTACTTTCTTTACTAGAGATAACAATCTATTTTGTTTTTCAGGTCACTCAGCAGATGGGAATAGATGCTCCCATTCCCGTAAGTGTAAAACTAAGGGATTCAAATAGTTTGTTCTCTAAAGTCATAAGTGCAGCTGAACACCCTCATATGAGCATTCCTGAAACTGATATTGGGAAGAAAAGGAAGAAGTATTGCCACCTTGTTCAAAACTCGCTCATGTTTGTTTCAGGTTGTTATCTTTCTGCCCCCTTTACCTCTCTCCTTTCCACATAAATAGATCCGTAGAGGCTTTCATTTATATTGTGCCTGTTCTTGACTGGCTTTTCTTTCAAGTTACAGTAGGAGCCGCCATTGCTGTTGTGGGTATGGCAGCATATCGTGCATATGCTGTGAGGAAGAATTCTTGAATGGTAGGGGATGGTCAAGATGGATCACTGCTTTTTGCTGGCTCTAGAAGTGAAATAAATGGTGGGTATTTCTCGGATGGTCAAATTTTCCATACCTCAGTCCTTGCTTTCCATTCTTAACCTATATCCTTCTGTATATAGATATATTTTTTGATATTTTAAACAAGAATAGATAACGTCTTGGAACTTTCGCTTCATTTAACGAAGAGGTTAAGTTAATAATCAATCATCCGTGTAAGCCATGTACATCTAAATATTAATGCTCGTTGTTCGACTTTTATTGGAGGTGACACCTTACCAAAATTATGTATGTTCCCTGCAACAAAAATGTTTCTCATGTTTCCATTCCCTCGTATGTTCATATATTTGGTACAACGTTGTGAAACCAACGGTTGTCTAATCTGTTGATTAATAATTTTTGCATTAGTAATTTAGACACTTTTATCGATAAATTGGATGAAATTGTAAGTTTCAAATTGTTATACTAACAGCCCTGTCATATGTTAGAATTCAATTTAAGTCATCTAACAAGAATTTGCCATGCGAATTAGTTTGCTTACAAAAAATTCAAAGTCGAACTTGAGCTCTAAATCAAAGCCTCGAAGTTTGTAATTAAGTAAATTAGCTAAGGCCACATAGCTTTGTAGTTCTATGAACTGTTTGGTATCGCAGTTTTAGGTTACTAGTTTATGGTTTGATTCAAGCTGTTATATGATAGTGTTTGGTAAATTTTTTTACTAACAGTTAAGTATTTGTTATTTGATATTATTATAACAAATTTACCTAAAAAATAATTAGGCGTGAGATGCAAGTTGTAGGCGTGACCTCATTTTTTACATTAATTTTTTTTTTATATTCAAATTTAACATTAACTTATTCATTTCTTTTTCTTTTCGTTATGATAAGAAGTAGTATCAATAATTGAAAGACAATTACAATGCAAGTTATACTTTGCTCTATAGGCTGAATAGGAAAAAAGAAAAAATTATGAAGGATCTCCGATACTAACATATAAAGTTAAGTATTCCACACAAATA